AAATGTAGCAAATTTCATGTGTAGATAAGGTGGTGCTGGTGGTGCTAGTGAAGATTGCACCTCATCCTCATGCGGCTCATCCTCTACCCCATCATCATCTTGTTCGTACTCCTATTCATGTGTCTCATCCTCTCCCTGATCATAATTTTGTTCATCTTCATCCTCATGTTCACCAACTGTCTCCGCATCCGAGTTTGAGTCGTCTGCTCTTGTGTTGCTCACATTAGAACCAAGACTGTTGTTTCTTCTGGTTCTCGACGTGCCTGCCTTGCGAACGATATTCTGCTCATTGTAGTTCGATTGAGAAGTCTGGTATGCGTGCGACTCCGAAATAGACAGTGCGCCCCAAGTGGCATTAGGTGCATCCGGAGGCCCTGCATCGTATTCATGGACAATTTATTCGTCAAACATTTTTTGTCATGTTATTGACATGACTCAGGCACCATTAACAAATAAATAAATTATATTAAACATGAAGCTCTGGCAGACGGCAAGTTATTTTTTTCAAGCCACATGGCAAGTTCAACTGTTTTACAGATGACAGCTTCACTCATGCATAAACGCACCTTTATCATTTTTAACCATAGTTAGACCATCACGGCCTTTACAGTACACAATTCCCTTTTCATTTTTAAAGATAGTTCATACTCTTTGCATGTTCCACCATGTGATATAACTACACATTTGCATACTACAATTCCGAGCTCAACGACAATACGGATGACAAATTATTTTTATGACTGCACTATGGCAACTACTGTTCTTTGTTTCTGAAACTGCACACTCTTTTACACTTCCTTTTTTTCATCTCCCCCGTTTTTGCTATCTTATTATTTTGATCTCTATGCATGCATACTTTGCAGAAGCATATGTTATTTACGGTTTTACACTTACTGGCACTTGACGTAAATGCGGTTGCACATGTTCTCAGCTGGTCAACTAATCCCGATCCTGTAAATGAGCCTTGTATCTGCAACTGGTTCCTTGGGTGTGATAGCTTGCTAGGCTCTCCCTCACCATTCATCCATGCACATCCGGTATGTGTGCTTCCACCAAATGCCCCTGCTTTTTACATTGATCCATATTAAGCATTTCATTTTTGTTCACAATCATGCTACACTTATTTTCTCTTATTTTTCTTTTGATAAAGAATACTGTACCTGCATCCAAGTACTGTTGTAGTAGTGGCAACAAAGGGCCAGTTGAGTTTAGCTCATCATAATCATGCACATCCCATGACGGTGCTTGCAAAGAATTGTAGAACCATGGGTTCCCACCATTTCCAGAATCCATTCCTTGCCCTCCTTTTTTTATCTGCACAACCAGACCAATACAATCAACTTTGAACATGCACATTGAAATACCTATAACATGGCCCTAACATTTATCTACATGCCCCTAACATGTATTAACTATACCATGCACTCACGTGCCAACAAACTACATCATGCAGATGGAAACAATCTATATCATTCAGATGGCAACAACTATATCATGCAGATGGCAACAACTATAACATCCACATGGCAACAACTATATCATGTAGATGGCAACAACTACATCATCAACACAATGTCAATAATTTCGTCATGCACATGGCAATAAACCATATCATGCACATGGGAACACCCACTTAATGCACATGGCAACAAGCACATGATGCACATGGCAACAATAAGGTTGACCACCTCGTACCAATATCAAGTCCTCGGGGATGGCAACTCCTGATTTTCTTTGCCAACCACATGTCACAAAAGAATACATCGACTACTGCCTTCCTAGTCTTAGGTTTACCCCCTACCTACATGCGGCAAGATCAGTAGCACACACACCTCCCCCACCTTCATCTGTCTCCCA